AAAAAAAAAAAAAAAAAAAAGAGGAGTTCCCCTTGTCCCTGCCTAACTTAAAAATGACTTCACATCTATAAATGTTTTAATGTAATGCCCCTATCTTCTATGTTTTCATCATGCATGAGGACTTTTTGGATTTGGAGCAGACTGCACCTCAGCAAAGGCAGCCAGTTCTAAACTTTTTTTTATCAAAAGGAAGGAATCAGAGATGAGGATTTTGTTTAGTGCTTGAAAGCCATAGCAACTGGTACTCCTACCTATAGGACACAGTAGATTACTGCAAACCAGTTCCCTACAGCAACAACTAACAGCCTAAAAGGCCTCACCCATACCAGAAATGAGCTCTGTGTCGTACATGGCTTTAGGACTCTAGGAGCTGAAAAAGACAAGAGTACCAACTTCTCAGGACAGATCTCCTTCCCCAGTTACCTGTGTGTACAGGGTGGTCTCCTGTAAGGGAATGGTTTCCTTGGCTTGTCCACTTCTATAAAATCCAAACCACTGCAGGAGAGGATGAAGAAATATGGTCTGATCAGACACACGGCACACTGCCAAACTAAATTGAGACTGGCTAGCAGTTGGGACTACCAACAACTAACCTTATAAAGCTATAGCAAGAAGGAAAAATGAACAGGACATGTCCTTTTTTTTTTTTTTTTTGAGACAAAGTCTTACTATGACTCAGTAAAGTGCCCTCAGTAGAGTGCCGTGGTGTCACAGCTCACAGCAACCTCAAACTCTTAGCTGGGACTACAGGCGCCCACCACAACACCCAGCTATTTTTTGTTACAGTTGTCATTATTGTTTAGCAGGCCCAGGCTGGGTTTGAACCCGCCAGCCCTGGTATATGTGGCTGGTGCCATAACCGCTGTACTACGGGTTCCGAGCCAGGACATGTCTTTAGCGGTTATCTTTTTAAGGGTAGATCCTGAGAGATGAATTAATCTTTCCAGAGAGCTTTCCACCTCTCCAGAATTTCTGCTTTGTACATTTATGGAGCAATAAAAAAAAATCCCTATGCTGAACTCTAGACATTAAAGGATGAATATATAATCTTGTTTCCAAGATGCTCCTAGTCTGTGAAGGCACAGAAACAATTCAGTGTTCAAGGGTCAGAAAACATTTTAGTAGAGGCCAGATATAAAATATTTAGGCTTTAAGGGCTATATGGCTATGAGTAATCACTGCTGTCACTGTAACAAAAGTGGCCACATACAATATGTAAAAAATGAGTAAAACTATGTTCCAATGAAACCTTACTTAGAGGCCAGATGTGGTAGCTCACGCCTATAATCCTAGTACTTTGGGAGGCTGAGGTGGGTGGATTGCCTGAGCTCACAGGTTTGAGACCAGCCTGAGCCACAGCGTGACCTCATCTCTAAAAATAGCTGGGTGTTGGCTCGGTGCCTGTGGCTCAAGTGGCTAAGGCACCAGCCACATACATCTCAGCTGGCGGGTTCGAATCCAGCCCGGGCCTGCCAAACAACAATGGCTGCAACCAAAACATAGCCAGGTGTTGTGGCAGATGCCTGTAATCCCAGCTGCTTGGGAGGCGGAGGCAGAAGACTCACTTGAGCCCAGGAGTTGGAGGTTGCTATGAGCTGTGAAGCCACGGTACTCTACCTAGGGTGACAGCTTGAGGCTCTGTCTCAAAAAAACAAAAATAAAAAAAATAAAATAGCTGGGTGCTGTGGTGGGCACCTGTAGTCCCAGCTACTTGGGTAGCTGAGGTAAGAGAATCAC